TATCCAATTCAGCAATTGACCCGGTGACTCGACGGTTGAACTAGTGACCCGGTAACCCAGAGACCTGTCTGGGTCGATTTCCGAGCCGTAAGAGGCCTTGAAGTTAATTTAACAACCCCCAATATTAAAATAATAAAATTTCATTACGAGCAATTAACATGAATTCTCTGTTTTCCCCCAATGCATGCTTTTAGTCTCATTTTCTTACTTTTTTTTTTAGCTTCGTGTACGTGTTGAAGTTGGACAGAATGGACCAATGGTAATCTTATTGTGTAATTTTGCTATTATTAAAGATAAATATTTTAATGTTTGCCACTATTCACGACAGGGGTGGTGGTGCAGTTGGCTAGCGCGTAGGTCTCATAGCTTTACGAGAAATCCTGAGGTCGAGAGTTCGAGCCTCTCTCACCCCATTGTTTTTCTTTTCAAATTCTCCTCCATTTTTATTTCTTTTTTCCCCATTTAAACTACAACTAGTACAAATTCTCCTCCATTTTTTTCCCCCCATTTATACTACAACTAGTACGAATCCCGTGCGATGCATGGGTAAAAAATATTCGTTAATATTTATAAATTAAATTTCTCATTAAATAATATTTATAAATTAAAAATGTAGAATCAATATGTAATACAATTTACTTATATAAACTAATTGGAAATGTTATATGAAACTTAAATTGTGCAAAATTACATAAAATATGTCTATTTAAAAGTATCACACAACCCGTGTGGTGCACGTAACTGATAATAAATTACATTATATTCAATTCATAATAAGTGTCATTTTTAATTTTTATTCAGAAATTCTATTTGACTATAGTGTGGTTCCATAAAATAAATGTTTTGATAAAATTTTATCATATATTTAAAAAATCTATGTGAATAATCGGTATAGTTATATAACTAATATTGTTTCATTAACTAACATAAATTTATTTTTGTATAAACTATCCAAATAAAAAAAACTTAAGTAATTGAGTAATTTATTAAACTATAAATCATTGCCTATTCTATTTAGGCCAAGTATTGATCCATAAATTATAGGATGATCATGAACATTGCTCGAATTTGGAATTTTGACATGAGAATACTTTTTCTGCCCATTCTTCCCATAAATCAACCACATTTGGCAAATTCTCGCTATTAGGAACATTTCATTATTCTTTTGGTCAGCATATCTTCAGTAAGAAACAGGGAAAAACGGGTGCGGTCTCACACAGATGAAGCGCACCATAACAAGGAAAGTCCAGATTAAGCCCAAATCGGGTTCCATCCCAAAACCAATACGGTGCATACCAGTAAACAAATATAAGATATAATCAAATTGTATCTAAGTGGCTTACTTTACTTAAAGAAACAGTAGCCGAAAGCAACATCTTCTCTTTCTGGAGAGATTTAGTAGGCAATATAGTTAGTTCATCATCATCGTTGTTGAGATCTATCAGAAGGACTGTATTGCTAAAATCAACGTCTCTGTAGAAGCTATTATGTACCTCCTTAGACGTACTTGTCGAGCAAAGTACTGCTGGAATAATTACAAAATATATTGTTACATAACAGAAAAAAATAATGAAACAGAAATGATTTGCAGCACTTACCATTTGTAATATCTCAAAATGGCCTTTTAAATTTTATACTTGATGGTGTATTTCCTTGTACATTGTCCGTAATAGAAAGTACAGATCCATTGCACAAAGATGATGCCACAGTACCTAGAAAAGAGTAATTTATCTATTATATTTGTAAATACATATTTTTGTAAGTAATAAAATCAACAAACATGTATTCAAAAAAAATGTATAAAGTATTTTTTTATTGATTTATTATACAGAAACATATAAGTATAGTATTTAACAATCTGATTGATTAGTTATAGTAAACACATATTTAATTAAGTCATAGTAAAATATGATTGATTAGTTATATGTATTATTATATAATAATTAGGTATTATTAAATTAAGTTATATATGTTCATATCTAACAACTAAATATAATATACTAATAAAATATTTATAAACAATATTTGACACCATTTTTTTATGAATTATTTATTTTATTATCATATTAGGAACTAATAAACAAATAAACATAATATAATTAAATTAGTTTACTATTGTTTTTTAAGAATAGTTTACATTAAATATTAAAATGAAAATAATTAATTTATAATTATGTTTATAAATACATGGTTAATTAACAACAAATTATTTATTATTGAAATTGGGCCAAAATGTACAATGTAGAGAAAAATGCCCATTTTATTTTCAATTAATAATTTGACTAAAATGGTCCACTATGTAATAAATTACCAAGCCCATTTATTAGATAAATAATGATCTGATGACTGTAAATTAATCAACGAAATCGGACGGCCAGAATTGTACGAAAAATTGTATAATAGGCTTGTTTTATAAAACCATTATATGACTCTCGTTTGTACAAAACTGCCCTGCTTGTGTTCTTCTTTCTGTTTCGAAATATCATGTGTTATCTTCTCTAAAAATAATTCACACTATAATCTTTCCGATTTTGTTGTTCCAAAAAAAAAAAAGGAAATCGGTAGCCTTATTCATGTCCGAAAACTACCAATTCGGGAGTAATATTTTGAAATCGCAATCTTCTTTGTTGTTTCATATTTTTTTAGATTTTTTAAATCGACACAGATAAAAGGGAAATAGACGGTGATTGACATTTTCGTTGTTAATTGCCATTTATTTTCCAGGAATCATGTGAAAAATGTTTAAAATTCTATAGGTTCCAATTCGATTGTTTATTTACGTTTGTTCTCTTATTATCTCACAGTTCATGTGTGGATTTTCATTTATGTGATTAAAAATCAACAAAGATCGAAGGGCAAAAGGCCGGAAACCGAGAAAACGCCCATCAAAATTGAGATCCGACTACAACAAAGCAGATCTACAATTAAGGCAACAATCCTTATAAAGCGGCACACAGGGGCGGAGCCAAGTATTGCTTGACGAGGGCTCTAGCCCGGGATAAACTTTCAGATTCAATCCTAAATCTCAATTAGTTAATAAATTAATTAAGCATGTTTTTCCACTAATACATCAATTAATGTATTATGTATTGAGCAGTTGCTTTGAATTTATATTATAGACCTATTTTAAGTTTAAATGATCATCTTCTATATCAAATTGGTGGGATTTTCATCCTTCTCGTTGCGACTTAAAATGATGGTTGAAAATTTATTTTGTATTCTACTTGGAGAAAATTGTGACTATTTTTTGTTTATGTTTTATTGTCGTTCTAATTCTATTATTGTTTTGTGATATTAAGAGTTACTTGCTTATTAACACCAGTGCTAAATTTATATTCAGTATATTGAAAAAAATTCAAAACAAAGTCAGTATATTACTGTTATTGTTTTTATTTATGTGTTTAGATAATTAATTTTACTTTTCCCCAACAATTTATGTCAAGTTATTCTAATAAAAATTAAAAGATTCTTGGGAACCTTAAATAACTATTATATTTATCATATTCATACATATTATTTTGCTATACTTGTAGCCCGGGTAGCTTGTAAATTTTCGCTCCGCCTCTGGCGGCACATGCATCTACAATTTCGCTAAAGGTAATGGAATCGTTTGACCATGTGAGCCTAAAGTGAAAAGATTCTAGTATGTAATATATTTCAGATATCATACGATATACTTATATTGTAGGCCAGTATATTGATTAAGTAGTAATATTTGTTTATGTATAAATTATATATTCCTATATGTGTTTGTCAATAGTAGAATATAAATATTCTCAAGAATTGTATATTATATTTTGTTGCACATTATACAACTACACAATGGGATTTCAGTTAATAAATTTCAGTTAATAAATTCTTGATCTCTTATTATCATAACCTTGCATTTGTCTGGGTTTGCACGCTCTTCGCCATTATTTGTCCTCATACTTGTTTATCGTGTGCCTACTCAATCGTGCAAATGCTAGACAATAAGGATTTAGAAACGATTATTAGGTGAGACACATAGTTTGCATATTGTAAAGTAAACTTCATAAAATTAGATAATTGGAAACACTGTTTTTATATTCTCTATAGATAATTGGAAAGGGAAAGAAGCCCCAATATTTGGAAATTAGATATCTGAATATTGCGTTACTTTTTCAACAATTTTTTTTAGTACATCTATGCCGATTTTGGTAATTTTAAAATAATCTGTTGTATGCAAATGTAACTATTAGTGGATATTGTTGATTGCCAAATTAATTTGTTATATATGTTTAATTTTCAATCCACACGTGTTTTTTATGTTTTTGTTTAGAAAACAACAATTTATTAGGAAAGTGATATGTATGCACAAATAAATGAAGCAATTTAATTATTTTGTATATTGCAAAGTTGTATGTATGCACAAATAAATCAACTAAATCATCCGATTTTATTTAAGACAACTCAACCATTTAATTTATTCAAATTATTTATGATTATTGTAGATTTGGTTGCAGGATGACAAAGGAAATTTCAAAGATCTTTAAAGATTTTTTTATTGTACTTGTCCAAATTATGTACAGAATCTATATTCATTATTTATTTACTTTCCGTGTGTATTGTAAGCTATATTTGATCAAAATATTGGACCCATTAAGGTTGGGTTAATATCTGGCATGAGAATTTGCAATGTTGACCCAATATTTGACAAATTGAATGAAAATCATGTTAGCCGCAATGTTTGACAGTAAATCTATGAAGTTGACTTTTTTTATTTTGAATTTAAAAAGGGGGTGTCTATATGTACACCCCCTAAATTTCTAATTGTACACCCCTCTCTAATTATCCTTTAATTACTTTAATCATTACTAAATCATTACGTGATGTGACTTTTAAATTATTATATGATTTGACTATTAGTTATTAAATGATTTCAAAATCATTACATGATTTAACAATTATTTTTAAAATAAATAAAAATAAAGGCATGATTTGACCAATATTATAAATAAATACATTTTTTTTTTGTATTATTACAATTGTAGACGATCCTTATACATTTGTCTCCATTCTTTCATACAGACACTTTTATACGGAGAAACTTTGGGCATTGGATGTCCATTTTGCAAATCCACTTTCACAAAATGATTTCCATGAACAAATGCAATTGCTATGGATTGATTTAGTTCTGGAGCTTGTGGACTTGTCCAAAGCGGAAAGAATGTGTAACTACCTGCATCTGTTAAAAAATAAAAAATGCAGTTGTACTTGTTCGCGATCACGAGACCAGTTTCGGGCATTTTTATCCAATGCTCAATCGGTGCAAATCCAATGCCTTGAAATTTGAAGGAGTGTTCCACAACCTTATAATAATCACCAAAAAAAATTTTATAGTGTTTTTTATTGGTATGCAATTCCTGCAATAATTCATGACGAATCGATGGCCAATCATGTTGATCTCGACCAATAGCAACAGCTACTGACCGAAAACCACAATTTCCATCGCCTTCAACATCTTCAATCCCGATGACATATGGTTGAAAGAAAGATGGAATTTCATGAATCAGTGGATGTGTATACCGTGTCGGTTCCTAAAAAAAAATATAAGATAAAAGAAATTTTAATTGACAACTAGATTGTATCTTTTTATAAAAAAATAAAGTATAAAATAACAATACCTCCATTATTGGCTGCTGATAATAATATTCGTTTTGTTGTGGCAGTTCGTAATGATCATAACCATATTGAGTTGATGGTGCCGGGTCTTGATAAACAAAGTTCTGCTCGGACATAGGTGGCAGATCATTCAAATCAAAAGAAAAAGGCATATATGAGCTACACTGTGGTGGATCAACCTTGGGTGGCAGATCGCGGTAGACATATTCACTGTGTCGTGGTGGCTCGTTCAATTCAGACTGAACGGCTGGTCTATACGATGAACAACTATGTCTACGACTTTCATTAGGCAACACTTGTTTGTCCTTGCTGGATTTTGAACTTGGACGACCACGGATATTTTTGTGAACAGAAGGTTCACCAACAATATAGGTCGATGGTTCAAAAATCCCCCTAAGTTTTCTCAAAAATGAGACCTTCCCTGACTTTGGCTGATCTGCAAAACCTTTTTTGAACCTTTCAAGCTCAGCATCACAAGTTACATCATCCTCCTCCTCTACTGTAGGGTCAGGAATATCTAAAGTCCTCCAGAAGACATCAATTTCTTGTAATGGAATAAACAAGTCTTCTTTCATATAGAAGTTAAGTTCGTGCGCACATGGTAACCCACAACTTGTACGAAGTTGACACCCGCAAGTTTCAGCAGTAATTTCAACTACAGTGTCAAGTCGCTCTAGTTCCGTAAATATTTTTTTTAA